AATTATATATGCCGCTGCACTGCATTTTCATGCTTCATTAGCGCTGCCTAATCCAATGCCACCACTCGAAGATATGCCTAAGCTGTAAAGCAATACAAAGCCACACTTATTCTTAGCTGCAGCACATTAAAAATACACTCTGTCATTGTCACTTGTCAGACAATTGCTGCATGACATGCAATTTGCGAATATTTTGCACCACAATCCGTTTAGCGTTTTATTGCCAACTCACCACACTGCAATTGTCTGCCATACATAGTTACATATGTATATACATGGCAAGTAAGAATTTACCTTAATCCGCAAGGGTAATATTACAAAGACAAAAGTTATACACTGAAGCGTGCATTTGGCAACTTTTGTCCTGTGCCAGCTTTGTTCAACAGTTACAGCGAAGTCACGCAAGCCTAAAAGGAGTCATCAACTCACATGAAGGGTTGAATTTTTCTCTCATTTCCATGCCTTGTTGCCAAGCCATTGTTATGCATTTGCGCTTAGCCAAACACACGCATGAATTTACATATCTGCGTCGTGTTTTTTGCAGCACAACGTTACAGTTTTCTTTACAGTTTTATTTTTTTACCTTTATATTGCTTTTATTTGCTGCTTATGCACATACCTTTGTGTTTAGCTTAGTTTTTCCGCTTTTGTCTTCGATAAAGTATCCTTTATCAGCTGTTCTTGTGTGCTTTCGCTTTTGTGTTGCGCACTGCTTGTTGGCTTTTCATTTACCACTTTCATTTTCCCATTGCTTTTATTATGCAAATCACGCATTTTCTTTAAAGTTGCCTTTCTTTGGTGCCACCTTTTGCGCACAACAATGAAACCGGCTATTGCGTGTTTGCATCGAACTTGTTGTCGGCCTCAAGCGGCGTGTTTGAGGCTTACGAAAGTGATTATATCTGGTTTTTGATGATCGTCGCAAGTGATTAGTAATATATGTACATAGTTATATGTACAGGGTTTTGGCACAATGTAAGAATCGACAGCATGCTATTATCGAAATATTAAATCGATTAAACAAATCAATTTATTATTAGTTTTGCTTCTAAATACTTTTAATTTTTTTTAAAGATTTTTTCAATTTTATTCTTTTATTTTATCTATTTTTTAACTTCTTTTACTCTATTTTTTTATTTCTATGTCAT